AATTAATAATTACCTGAATAAGAAAGACAATATAACTTAATCAGATACTTATTAATGTAAATATGAAAAATAATTTTATTAGTAAATTAGGTCAGGGATTATATAATGAGAGTGTTAAGATAATGAATGAGTTAATTCCTACAACAGTTACTTAAGAAGCTTTATTTATTCATTTATTAGTAAAATCAATCAGAATTTAAAGCAGGGAAGCATATGACTTAGTTTTCAATAAGTTTAAAGTTGTGATTGATGCAGATCCAATTTTTTAGGATGTATGAAAATTAACTATAAATTAGTTATATTATAAAGTAGGTGTAAAGTACTTTGGACTAAAGGAAAAGGAATAATCATAATCGGGTATTGGTGGATTATTGAGTTAATTCTTTTAATGAAATTACATTTTGTATAAATATGAATATTCAATTTATGAATTTTGTTATTCAACTATATAAAGAGATTCTCTTAATATTAATAAGACTATTATGATAGATAAAATCTTTAATTTTTTTTGATGGAATTTGTTTATTGCTTTTTGAGATACCTCTAATTTTTAAGATTTAAGACTATTATTAGTTATGATAAATAATCTAAATTACATTTAAGATTATTATATTATATTATATTATAAATTACATTATTTATATAAAATGAATTATTTGATCTGTATGTATTAGATATGTTTAATATAAAATAGGAAGGGTGGATTGATGAAAATTTGTTTAGTGAAATTAATCATTTCTACAACTACTCTTATAAATAATATTAATTTAACATATATTCTTATATTCTAATGTTAGTTTGATTAAAAAAAAGATTTCCTTTAGCAACTAATTGTTTTATATAAACAAGAAGATTAGAAATTTATGAATTAAACTCTATAATTATAAAAATTTTTAAAATTACTTTTCTTTTTTCTGGTTCCAAAATACAAATTAAACACAAAAATCTTAAAATTGCGCTCAGTCTTAAATAAAAAGGCAATAATTAAAAGGATTTCTAGCCATAAAATAATTAATGAAGATGGACAACAAAAGATTTAAACTGATGCTAGGAGTTAATTATGTTAGCTCAACAAGTAAGAAATTGCTATTCAATCTTAGACTATTTTGCTTCTTCCATAAAATCAAATACTGCAAAAAAATGCATCAACACTCAAACAAGTACTTAGGATTTCACTCAATTTGACTATTTAATACAATCTCCATAAATTATTAAGGTATTAATTCTAGAAATTTTTATTAGAAAGTCAAAGTCAATGCTGAAAGTACTCTGCATACTTATGAAGATGATTTATATTGTGATGAAGTTATATAAAATGAAGAGTCAGCACATACCACTTTTTAGAGTAAGTCTTCTGCAATACCAATTCAGAAAGAATATTATAATATCAATCCTCTCTACTTGTTAGAATACAATGAAAAAGAATATAACTTTAAAACTAGGGCCATTATATTAAATAGAATATAAGATAATTGTCATAATTTGAATAACCCTTACTCCCATAAGGCTATATATCTATATGATCTATTCCTTTGCAAATTAACTACTAAGATCATAACTAATTAAACATAATTGAGATTTCTTTCATTAGCTATGATCTTTATTGTTACTAAAATGAATGCTGAAACTCCAAATATTTGCTCACTCTTATCTTAGTCATCACTTAATATGACTAAATAATAACTTATCTAATATGAAAGATTCATCCTTAAAGTTTTAGACTGGCATACTAATCCATTAACCTTATAAGATATTATCTATGAAGTCCTTTATAGATTTTATAATACTTTTCCTAATTACAAAATCTAATCAGATTAAAATAATAAAACTATTAATTAGATTATTAATGCTATTGTTTTAGATCACAATTACTTGAGTTATTCTTTAGAGGATCTCTCTTTTTCAATTTTATTTCTACTCTATAAAAAAGAATTATAAGAAAATTAATTTGATGATTTTCTAAAGATTCATAATAAAACCATATCAGATATTTAATTATCTATCAAATTTGTTTCAAAATATATTCGAGTGATTAATTAGTTGGTATTTATATCATTTTTATATTTCTAGAATGAAAAACAACTTGATATTAATTCATTAGAAATTCTTAAATTAGTTTGTGTTTGATTCTTTTTATTATATATATATATGTATATCATTAGTAATATAATTTAAACTTATTACTGTTTTAAGCACTTTATATTCTTGCTTTATTTATCGTCTATTTACTCGACTAATAAGAACTTCTTATATCATTTTTCACTTCATTTAACAACTAATCAAATTCATCATCTATTTCCATTTTTTAATTCTAAATGCTCTCATAATTCTCATCAAATGTTGAATTCATTATTTAAGGTGTCATTCTTTTCTCTTTTATCTGAGCACTATTTGTACGACTTCCCAAATATCCATTTGTTTAATTATCATTAAACTTAAATAATTTTCTACGAGGACCATTTGGCAACATTATAGATAAATCTTATTACTTTTAAGGTAATTTCCTTACTGTGTTATCTGTTTTTTTATTTATATTCGATATTGTTTCAATAAAACTATTATAACATATTCCACATACTCTCACAAATTAAAAATCATCAAATTTAGGAACAATTCTTCCTGTTACATCTAAATGTAATTTTTAATCATTCAAATGATGAAGATTTCTATGCATTCTTATTTTCCATATTCTATTTTTAAGCACTTCAAAAGTATCATTAACTTTTGTTAATTTTCTACACCCACAACATTAAACTACAGTGATATCATCTGATATTTATTTTTTTGGTTAATATTATTCAAAAAATTCTTAATTATGTAAATAGTTTAGAGAATTAATGAAATTTAATAATCTTTTAGTATTTTAAAATTAAATACTAGTATTCCAAAGAATCATCAATTTATCTCCAACCTATTTCATATAAATTTCAATCTAATTGACCTTTTATCCTTCAATTAAACTTAATAATTTTTCAACTGTTATTCCTACTTTATTTACTCTTGTTTCAAAAATGACTTTTTCACATGCAAATTAACTTTCCTTCAAAGTTATTAAGGGTTCTGAAGATAACGGAATTCTTTATTAAACCTAAGTTATATGACCTTATCTAGAATATGTAATAAAGTTTTCACTAGGAAATGTTTATTAAATAATAACATCTTAATATAGTTCTGAAAAATTAGTGATGTCAGATATTAGTGCTTCAAGTTCATTTCGTGTTAAATATTTAAATTAAACATCTTTCTTGTTCAATAATCTCTAGAATGAACATACATGCTTATCTTTAGAGTTAAAAGTATCTAGGATGCTTTTTAAATTAACATTCTCTTTCCTTTTCTTTAATATTTTACCAGAACATTAAGAACTGGTAAAATAATGTGATATTTTGCTACCCTACAAGTAAAATGTTTAAGGAACTTCAAAACAGCATTCCTACATTGCATATTATTAAGCTTTCCAAAGTTCCCCTACAATATTAAACATTTTAATAAAATTATACTATAATTGATTAATTCAATGTATTTGGGTTGTAGCTTTCAATATTCATCTATTCTGATTCAGTAATTTAATAATATATGAAAGCATTCTTTTACAAAATTAAGAAATTAGTATAAGACACTATATGTAATCTACAATTCTATCATATCTAGTTGGAATTTTTAATTTGAGAATTAGTAGAGCATAAAATAGAATTGATTTTTAACATTACTTATATTTACAATTCCTTTTTAAGTTTACAATTATTAATTTAAAGACTTTTTATTAAATCAGATTTTAACCCAAATTTCACATATATTGAAAAATAATCTCCACCTACTTTTTCAATAAAATTATTAGGCAGATATAAAATTTGTCTAAAAAAAAGTATCTTTTATTCTTTGCAATTGTATATATGCTAAAAACTTAAATGGTGATTTAAAATTTTTTAATTTTACATATTTTTAGTATAATAATTTATAGTTTCTAAAAATTTTCTCTAAATTGGTTCATTAAAATATTTGTTAGATTAAACTCTCCCCAAATTCATATAAAATTCACTTTGGAAATTTGAAAATATTAAATTAGAATTTTGTCTAAAGGTGATTTTAATCAATTTTTAATAAAATTTGTGCATACAAGAAGGGAATTTAAAGCTTAAACTGTTACAATAAATAAGGGATAATTCTATAATTTTATTGTAATCAATGAGTATAATTAAGAAATAATAAGGAGTGAGAAATAAATATTAAAAATAAATAAAAAAATAAGAATTGTATCATTTTATAATTATTAAATTCTATCAGAAGCAATATCTACTAAAATAATATCATTCTTAAACATCAGGATTATTAGTAGTAAAACTAGTTTGAAATAATAATCTTTCCTTTCATCTTCTTACCTCTAAACGTGGCACCATTATATTAAATAATTTATTTATTCCTATTTTGAAATCTACTTTCCATAGAATATAATATTATTGTGCTTACTAATGAATTATCCTTTTATACTTCATATGCTTTACCATCAGAGAAATCAAAACTCAATACCAATTTCCATAGTTTCATCTATGTTCTATAGCTATATATGAAAACATTTTAAAATCGACAAATCCATAGAATATATTATTAGTAAAAACCATATTTAAGCTAGCTTTGAAATACATAAAAAGAAAAAACCTTCAGAAGCAAATAGCTTTAAAATGAATAGTTACATAATGATACAAGTATTTTTATTATATTATGTATAAATCACAATTAGAATGTTGAAATTTGCCGAAACCGTTTGCTATATTTTCAATCTTTTCTTTTTTCAATGATAATTCTCAAAGCAAATATTTATCAAACTCATAGACCATTCCTTGTTTTTATAATCCTACATAATCACATCGATTTAATTATTGGAGAATAGATAACTTTTATATTTCTTCATTTTAAACTTGAATTAAATCTTTCTTATGAAAATAAATAAAGCAGAGCTCATTAACAAATTTAGTCTATACATTTCTGTTCAGAATAGCATCATTATTTTAATTTATTATTGTAATTTCAACAGCACAAAATTATTTTAATTGAGATTTCTATCAGAAAAGTGCCATCTTTATTATAATTCAAGTGGCTATGCATATATATGTGGTAAGTTATGGAAAATTTAATCATTTGTGAATTCTTTTATTGATTTATGTTAGAACTATACTGTTATACTACAGGTTGAGATTATTTAAATTTACATTTTCTATTTTAATATTATTTAGGGGCACATTCTTCTGATGATAGATAAAAAATTTGTTTGAATTTAAATGATCTTTTTAAGATCATTTTTATTCAGTTTTATTAATTTTTGTTTTTTGTGATTGAGATTTTGTATATTGAGAAAAAATGAAAAAATGTCTTGAAAATCGAGAGTTATTATATAATGAGTAATGAATCATAAAATAAATATTAAGATGAAGAATAAAGAATCAGATAAATTAATAAATAAAAATGAATTTCAAAGAGGATCCAAAAAATCTGATAATTCCATTGGATTTGGCTAAGATCATATATGATAAATGGGATGCTGATTTGGCTATACTGGATCAGCCTGATTAAGTATATGGGAAAGCATTACATGGGAAGGGAGAAGTTACATTCAAAAATGGGAATAAATATGAAGGAGAGTTTCATAATGGAATGTTACATGGTTATAGTAAATAGCAATATTCTAGGTGAGGGCACATTTACTTGGGCATCTGGAGTAATCTATAAAGGAGAATTCACATACAACAAGATAGAAGGATAAGGAACTTATTAATGGCCAGAAGGATCTACATACAGTGGGGTAGTAGTCAATGGATTGAGACATGGATAAGGGAAGTTTGTTACAGCAGATAAATCCGCTGTATATGAAGGTTAATGGGAGAATGGTTTAAGACATGGTTTTGGAAAAATTACATTTCAAAGTGGGTATGAGTGAAAAATTTGAAATTTAGTGCTACATTTGAAGGACAATTTTATCAAGGGAATAAATCAGGAAAAGGAAAAATGATATATCCTTCAAAGAATTATTATGATGGAGATTTTTTAATGGATAAAAAAGAAGGTACTGGAGTAATGTTTTGGTTGAGTTCAAATGAAAAATATTATGGATAATGGAAAGATAATGTATAAAATGGATGGGGTGTTCACTTATGGATAGAACCTAAAGGAGAAGGTTCTAAATATTTAAGAAATAGATATGAGGGGGAATGGGAAAATGGAGAAAGAAGTGGAGTTGGAGTATTTTATTATGCAAATGGTGCTAAATATATGGGAAGTTGGAAAAATAATCTTAAATATGGAGTTGCACTATTTATTACAGATACTGGCGGTTTTATTTTAGGAGAATTTAAATAAGATAGACTTGTATAAGTATATGCAACCACTGAAAATGAATCAAGAACTGGTATACTACCGAGAGAAATTGCACCTTAAGGTAATGAATTAATTTAATAACATGATAATCCTAAAGAAGCAACTGATAATAAAGATAAAAAAAAAGATAATAAAGACAGTAATAAAGATAAAAAAAAAGATAATAAAGATAATAATAAAGACAGCAATAAAGATAATAATAAAGATAACAATAAAGATAGTAACAAAGATAATAATAAAGATAATAACAAAGATAAAAATAAAATGGGAAATACTACTAAGAGACCTGAAAAATTGGCTGGTATCAATAATCCTAATCAAACTTAAACTAATCTTAATAAAACAATAGAGACTAATCCTTATTCTTATATGATTGATTTTTCTGACTTATATAAAGGGTTGTAATTAGATTCATAATAAATTGATTAAAATGTTTAAACGATGTTATTGAGACATAATTATACACTTAAAACATAATATAAGTTTTTTGCTAATAAATTCGAAAATATGCTCTATGAAGACACATTTTCTTTAAGTTTAGAAGGCTTCTGGAAAATTGCTAGAGATGTATTTATAATATACTTATCTAGGCTAAACTATTAAATTAAAATTATTCTTTGGCCGAGTTGAACAGAAATTTTTTATAAGGATCTAAAAATAATTATAGATTAAAATATGATAGATAAGAATTGAATGTTGAAATAGATGTTCTTAGTAGATAGGGTAGCAATATTAATTTATAAGAACTTAATGATTTATTTCATTAATAAATGGCTTTTGATTGTATATCAAATGATAAAATAAACTATTAAGAATTTTAACTAAAAGATGTTACATTCAAAAAGAAAGTAGAAGATATTCATGATCCTAGAAGATGTATCTTATTTAGACATTTTATTGAATTGATCGTTAGATTATCATATTTAAAATATGGTAATCTTATTGATTTACACAGAGCTATTGAGAGAGTCATTATCAGTAAATTAACACCATATTTTGAAAGAAAAAAGGGTAAATAGAATCAATCTTTAGATGATACTAAAAAATCTACTCATCCTAAAATTATTATCGGAGATTATATTGATGAAATAAAACCAATTTTTGAAATATGGTCAATTGAAAATAGAGAAACCTAATTTGGATTCACTGATAGAACTATTAATTTAGAATAAATATATAAACTTCTTAATGCTTCTGAATAAGATAAAGCTATACTCATTAGTTATGTTGATAAAAACTTTGATACAGATGAAGGTTAAATAACTTAATAATCTATTTCATAAATTGATTAATCATCTGTCAATCAAACAATCAGAGAGGATGGAAATAAACGTAGAAAAAAATAATAAGATTAAACAGCAGAGAAAGATTAGAAAAAAACTTTAGAAAAGGCAACATCTATAATTAAATATGAATTGTTACTCTTTGAATTTACAGATATTCTAACTTCATTTTTAGTCAAAAAGGTAATCATATTCTTATTTATAATAAATAGCACAAAGACTTACACACTAATAAAGAGGATGAATTTAAAGTGAGAATGAGTAATCATATTAAAAAACTCAAAAATAGAAAACCACCTACTTTAACCAAATTCAAATAACCAAGATTAGAACCTCAAACATAAAAAGATATTTAAAAAGAATAATTAAAATAATTAAGAATCCAATAAGAGATCAAAGCTAGACAAAGAAAACTATTAGAAGAGGAAAGAAAATAAGAGTATTATTCTTAATATATAATTTTAATAGAGAGCGAGAGAGAAATTTAATGGCTTTAGAAGATAATGATATAAAATCAGAACATGATGATGAAGAAGTGGAAAGTGAGGAAAGTGATTATTGAATAGTAAATTTCTTATATATATATGTAAAATAAATTTATTTTATCACAAAAATTCTTTAAATTAAATTAAAATTATAATGTCTGATCAAGAAGAAACAACACATAGAGGAGCAAAGACTCATAAAGGTAAAAGAATTCTAGAGTCTCGTGAACCTAAATTAGTTGAAGGTCCAAAATAAACTCTTTTCATAAGAGGTCCTAAGACTTCTCTTAGTGTAAGATAATTGGCACATGAATGGCATATGCTTAAAAGAGATTTTAGTATAACTTATAATAAGAATCATGAAATCTAACCATTTGAAGATACTAAACCATTAGAAACATTTTGCGAAAGAAGTCAATGTAGTATGTTTTGTTTTGTATCAAATTCAAAGAAACGTCCTGATAATCTTATTATTGGAAGAACATTCGATAAAAAAGTATTAGATATGATTGAATTACATCTAAAAGAATTCAAAAGTTAAGAAGAATTTGCTGCTTCAGTTGAAATTCCTATGCATGCAAGACCTTTAATTATTTTTAATGGTGAAGTTTTTGGGTTTAATTCTAATCATATGAAATTACATAATCTTTTAACTGATTTTTTCTATGAAAATGTTCCAATCTCTGATATTAAATCATCAGATATTAATTTAATTATTAGTATTACTGCTACAGATGATAGTACATTAGCAATTACGATTTTATAAAAATAAATACAAGAAGATGGAATCAAAATACAAGAAATTGGACCTAGAAGTATTTTTGAAATTAGAAGAACTAAATGGGCAGAAGATGATCTATTTAAAAAAGCTTGTCGTTAACCTAAACCTAAAGCCAAACCTCATGTAAAATATATATTTTATAATTTTAGGAAAAAAATGTTGTTTATGATGAAATAGGTGATAAAAGAGGAAAGGTTTTCGTTTAATAACAAGATCTTAGTACTCTAGCCTTAAAGAAAAGAAAGAAGCTTAGAAAAGGTGATTAAAAATTAAAAGCTAGAATATAATCCTCAGAATAAAATGTAGAAGCTAATGATGAATGAAAATCATTTGTTGTTTATATAAAAATCTAAACTAATTAAATTATAAATAAAAATATTTATGATCATCATTTATACCCTAACTTTTTTCATCATTTTTCTGACATACTTTTTAAGAAAGAAATAAAAAAAAATCAAACTTGATTCTAATGTAACTGTCCTAATTACAGGGGGATGTATGGGTATAGGAAAATAAATGTGTAAATTATTAGCAATGAAAAATTGTTAAATTATAGTTTTAGATATTAGAAAAGATCTTGCTGATGATCTTAAAAAGACAATTGAAGAATATGGAGGTAGATTATAGTTTTATGAATGTGATCTCTCTTAATAAGATTAAATCATTAAAACTATTAATTAAATTTAAGAACCTATTCATATTTTAATCAATAATGCTGGAGTTGCTAAACTACAATTATTTACAGAATAATCATTTGAAAATCTATAATTGACTCATGCAGTTAATTATTTTGCTCCTGTTCTCTTAACAAAATTACTTATACCTAAAATGGAAGCTTAAAAATTTGGACATATTGTAAATATTGGATCAGTCTTATCAATAATAACAGGATTAAAAGTAGTTGCTTATTGTGCTTCAAAACATGCCTTATTGGGTTTTCATAATAGTTTAAGAGTTGAATTGAAACTGAAGAAAAGTCCTGTTAAATGTACATTCATTGCTCCTTGGGCTATTAATACAGGAATGTTTTAAGGAGTTAAATCTAAAATCGATTTTCTTCTACCATAATTAAAAGAAGAAAGAGTGGCAATAGAAATTATTGATGCAATTGAAAATTAAAAAGATGTACATTCTATTCCATCATTTTATTGGCTGCTATCAAATCTTGTAAGATTCTTACCTCACCCCATTGCTGATTTTATTGTATTAAAAGTATAGGGTCCTTTCATTAAAGAAATGATTGGAAGAAACTAAAATTATTGACACATATAATATTATTAAATATCGAGCTAAATCAATTAATATTAAATATAAAGTAGTTTAGACTTTAGAAATTCAAATTTATTGTTAAATAAGTTATTAAAATAATTTTTCTAATTATTTCTAAATTATCCCTAATGAAATACAAATATTAATACTCTTCAAATATAAGTTAGTATTTATTATTTCTTAATTAAGGTTATTAAGAAATTAGTTGTTTATAAATACTATTTATTTAAAAAAATCAGTTTAAAAGGTTTAATTATGGTTTAACATAATTAAGAATTTTGTATCTTAATTTCATCATAATAACACTAAGTCTTTTAAAAAAAATTGTTATTTTAGTAAAAAAGCAGAAAATTATAAACAAAAATATACTCAATCTTTACATCTTAATGAAAAAAAGAGATTTAGAAATTATAATTAATATACTCCTAAATCGTAGTTCAACAACAGTTAAAACTCTTCAAAAAAAATTCCAATTAAAAAAACAATAGTCTTAACTTATTTTTAACAATAATGGGAATTTAAAATAACTAATTAATTAGATTGAATTAAGTTATGTTTTTATCTTATATATTATACAATTTAAATTTTTAGGATAATTATATTGAACTTTAGATAGGGTTGGAGTATTTTCTTAATCGAATGTTTAAGATAGTGTAAATTTTTATTATTATTTGATATAATAATAATAATTAATTTAAATGGTATTTTACAGAATCAATTATTTGAAAAATTCCGAAAAAAATGTCTGATCTGAATTGATAAATTGAAATAAAAATAGGATCAATAAATTTTATTCTTTATTTGTCTTTGTTTAAGAAGATACAAAAATCTTAAGATATTAATACATATAAAGCATATAAGATTAATTATTAAAGAAGAATACAAATTCGGTAATAAAAAAGTAACTAATTAAAAAAAACAGTTATTAAAAGTGAACGAAAGTTGAATCTTCTAATAACAGATTTATTATTTTTGTGTTTAGAATGATAAATAATAAAAAATTTATTAAATGTAAATATACCCAATATATGGCGATGATTCTCCTATAAATGAAATAACATCTAGAAGTGGACATAGAAGTGGGTCAAATTAGATAAAAAAGTTTCATAATGCAAAGACTTCTAGATATTTGTAAATGAATATGTAAAGAATAGATTGCCACTTTAAAATCCTCCATCAACTGAATCAAGATTAACATTGTCAAGAACAGACTCTCATCTGAAGTTTAGTTTTGCTAGTCATTCTTAATAATAGAGGAAAAATACAAAAACAGAATTTCGTCAATTTAGTAAGAAATTAATTCATGCAATGAATTTTGTGAAGGAACTTCGTCAATATGCTGAATAATTGAAGTCATAACATATGGAATATAAATATCGGCATCGCAATTTTTTTCCTTTGTATCCAGATGATAAAATATATATAATATGGATAGTTGTAATGAAAGCATTGCATTTTTTAGCTTCAATAATATTACCTTTATAATTGGCTTTCTAAGTATTGTAATTTAAAATATTAGGGGAGTCGGAAAGGACGTGATTTAATTAATTTCAGCAATATTCGCAATAGACATTCTATTTAATTTTACAAGTTGTCATATAGATGAACATAACATCCTATTGCATACATTTGATACAATAATTCCATTTTATTTAAAGGGATGGTTTTTAATTGATCTAATATCTATAATTCCATTTGAGGATTTTGAAAGTACCTAGTTATTGGGTTTAATGAGATTATTTAGGATAGCTAAATATTTTATGTATGAAAGAAGAGAAAATTATAAGACAGCAGATGATATAATAAAAAAGAAATAAATAGTTTTAAAAGAAGATTTATTTTATAGAGAAGATTATAATATAGACTTAAGAATTAGAAGAGTATTAACAATATTTGTTGATATGGTTATTTTGACACACATTTTTGCATGTTTATGGTTTTGGAGTGCTAGAATGGATGAATTTAATTAAGAGACTTGGGTAATAAGAGAAAAGGTTTACGATTTCAATATAGAAAAGTAGTATGTCACATGTTTTTATTGGGCAATATAAACAGTAACAGTTATAGGATATGGAGATGTTGCTGCTCATTCTTCGTTTGAATTCTTTCTTTAAATAATTTGGATGCTTATTGGTGTTGGATTTTATTCTTTTACTATAGGTGATATCACTTGTATTTTAGTAAATGTTAATCCACGTCAAGAGTATGAAGATTAATTAATCCTACTTGAAGAATTAGGGGATCAAACTTTTATGATTGATGAAGTGCTTAAAGAATTAATTTAATTTGCAAAATTTAATATTTCTCATAATCCCTTTTGGGCTCGTAATACGATAGATATGGTATAAGCCTTACCTTGGAGCATGAGATAATTCATTATTACATCAACTCATAAAGATATCCTTAAAATGGTACCTTTTATTGCTAATGATATTAATTTCTCGACCATGGTATTACCTCACTGTACTTTTGCTAAATATGATGAATATTCTACTATCTATCATATTGGTTAGAGTTCTTCAGATTTTTATTACCTTCTTAGTGGTGATGTTAGATTATCTGATGCATCTGGAGAATGTCTAATCAGAGTTATGGAAGGAACAGTCTTTGGAGAAGTAGAATCTATAGAATAAACTTTAAGACGATGGCATGCTCATGCTGTTACTAAAAGTGTTGTGTTAATGTGTCCAGGTAGGTTTTTCGAATCTTTAATCAAATAAAATTCAACTCAGTTTTTTGAATTATATTAGATGTATAAGAGAAGGAAAATCCTTCTATCTGACTATGCAGAATAAAGATAAAGTATTATACCTATTCAATTTTAGGATAAGCTGTTAGACTTAAAAGATCTACAGCAATTATTGTTGAAGGTAAGGTTGTTAAAACACAACAAGTTAGAAGATCAAGTGAAAATAGATAATAATTTAAATCCAAAATTGATTGTCGAAATTATATTAGTGTTTAATAAGATTTAATGTTATCTGTTGTTGGTTAAAAATAAGCTAGAAAAAAACTGTTGAGAGAAAAGTTTAGACTGGTATAAAAAAATATCTATCAAGGCTGTTTATAGAATCAAATAAATGATAGTTAGAACCAAAAAAAGAAGAGGTGCCTTAGTTGCAGATCCAGATTATAAATTCATCAGAGAACTTATTGCCAATAGAAGTCAATAAACTATTTAAACTAATATGTTTGATACTAATAGCTATTTATAAAAACTTATGAATAAATTTGGTAAAGTAGTAGAAGAAGAAAATTAAGTATAATCATTTATCATTAAAAAAAAATAAGAATCTTATGAAAAAATTAAAAGAATCAAACTTAAAAATCTCATTACAGATTGGAACAAAAATACACATCGAAAATCTGTAAAAAGAGAAGTCGATCTTTATTATTCATAGTTTCATGAATAGATTTATCAAGAACTATTGCAAACTAGAGTCGATCAAAAATAAAAAATTAAATATAAATAAGATAATATGAGAAAAAACTCTGTCTAATCACTTAGGATGTTAAACCTTAATGTGAATTACATTATACAATTAGCTATGAAATTTTCAATTCATAAATTTGAAATTGTTAAATTAGAGAGAGATATTGATCAAATTATTGATGAATGCCAATCAATAGTCTAATATATGATGTGAAATTTACTACTCTATAATTAATTTACATATCAAATTGATAATCTGAATAAAATTCATTATTTTAATTAATCAATCATAAATAGAAACAAAATAATTCTCAGTGATTACTTAATATTATAATTTTGATTTATTATTGCTAAAAAGATTTAAGTATCGAATTTTAAAATGTTATCTCAAACATAATATAAATTATTATTTAATACCAACATTTTCAATTTCTTTTATATATATTTTAATAATTTATCTCACCCTTTATTGTCTAAATTAAACCTTTACTTTATTCATTTGACTTTGTAAAAAATTTATAACTTAAAGAAAGTTCTCATTATTTAACTCAAACATAAGAGCAACATTAAAATTATTTATGATTAATGCTATATTTAATATAATATTTATGACTACTAATAAAATAACAGCTAAAAGATCAAAAAATTCATACAAGCATTTGACTCTTTATCATTTTAGAATTATAATTTTTTTTTAGATATTTGTACCTTTCAAATAGTTAGATCCTTATTTTTCAAGATTTTCAAATTTAATTCTTAATTATTCTTATAATATTTTTCAATAATCAACTAAAATTTCCGAATATAATTCAAATTAAAAATTCATAATGAATAGCAATACTTAAGTTTTCTATATTTTAAATATCATCACTGTGCGATTTATTTTAGTCATGAGCAAACATTGTGTAAAAAAGTATTATTGTGATTCATTTTCTTCGCGCTTAGATGATGGAGTTTTGTTTAATTGTATCAGTCTTTATTTTCTAATTTTTTACTTCCTCTTTTTCTCTAAGTTTTTAAATCTTTTTTTTTGGCTTAATTCGGGTTTCTTTTAAAAAATCTCATGTATCTACTAAGCATTTAACTACTTTAAAATAATACGAATAAAACTTTACTCAAAAACTATATATGATTATATTATAAAATCGATAAGAAGGAGTTCATATTAATAGAATTGTTTGTTCATTTAGATTTATCCACAATAATTTTTATTTAGAAATTTTTTAAATTAAATTCTAAATGAAAAAATAAAAGCTATCAAAACTTTAAAATTTATTTATATTTAAAGTAAAAAATATAAATATGTTCTTGGAATGAATCTATTACATAATTTTTTCTAGTAATATTTAATTGATTTATCATTTTTGTTTATTTTTATCAAAAAAAATCCTAATTCAAAACTAAGAAAAATAAAATTTAGTCATAAAAAACAATTCTAAGAACCCTTTTTATTTTAGAATTATTTGGTCTAAATTGTAAAATAAAATTTGATAAATTTACAATATTTTTCATTTGATTTGATTATTTTTATCAATCTGTTTAAATTTCAAAGGAAACTAATATGCGATGACTTTCTCATTAAATACAAACAGTAAATGACGTTTTGATACTATATTATGATTTAAATTTAAAATGGTTTCATATCTAACTTTATTTTGCATCTCAGTAGATTTTTCCACATTTACGTTTGCAGCCGTCAATAGTTTTGGCTAATCAGCCTCTTTTCCTTAAAGATTTTCTTTTTTATTATTATCATCACTCCATTCTAGATTAGATTCATAAAGTTGTGCTTTCGTAATTTAGACTAAAAATTTTATTAAATAATTATCTTACAATTGGATAGTACTCTTATTAAATTTTAATTAGATAGGAAACATGAAGAAAAACTATTTGAGTTTTGTTTTTGAATGATCAGACTGAAAATTTGGTGATCTTCTTGATCTAAACTCTCTTTTCGACCGTATAAAATATCATTGATCTACTAATGAATTGTATTTGAACTTATTAAAAAACAATTAGTTTTCTTTTCTGGCTTTTCTTATTAAGGATGATCCTTTTGAGAATAGAGCTTATTTAATTATTTAAGAATGTCTTCACTCTTACAGATTCCTACAGTGCTATTTTATATTTCTTAGTTTGTTAAATGAAATGCTATAGTATTAATTCCTTTCTAACAAGAAATATGAAAAACAAGATCTATGAAACTTTCTAAATCATCCTCTTTTTCTTTTGAAGGAAGTTTGATAAGTTCAACTTTTTAAATTGAAATAGCAAATATTTTCTAAAAGGAATTGTCTAAGTAGATTATTTTCTCCTTTCTGATGTCTTTCAGAAGTTTTTGGAGTGCCACAAAGATCTCACCTCCACTTTTGCCGGATATGGACACAAGTTTTTCTTTTTGTTCTATTTCATAATGAAAGTTGACTTAAAGAATCATTTTTAGAAATAATATTTAATAATTAAATAGACAGGTAAGAAATAAATAAGCTTTATCTTGCCGATTTAAGAAAATAAATAATGAAAACATTAATATAAGCATGTATGAGCTAATTCTATAATATTATAATATATAAAATATTATATTGAAGAAAATAAATTTTGAAAAGGAATTAATAATGGTTCTTAACAGAAAATGAAGATGAAATGGTTCAATTTTCAAAAAGTGTTTAGATTTAGAAATCATAACTCAAATAATGCTGATTAAAGGAAAGTATTGGAAGAAATTTAAAAACTATTAAAAAGATTAGATAGTTGAAATAGCTTTAAAAAGAAATCGAAAATTATAAAGAAGAGAAAAGAAAAATAAAAAATGCAAATGAAAAAAAATGATACATTTACTTTTTAATACAGAATAGACTCAAAATAATAAAGTTTAAATCTGAGGGATCTAAAGTTTATTCTAGAGGATCTATATCTCATTTAATGTTCACACCAAAGACCTACAAAATTACAATTTGAGAATTTGCTTAATAATTATCCGAGCTTAAAGAAGATTTAAGAAGACAACACAAAGCTGTCAAATTAACCTAACTATTAGTATTAAAGAAGGAAATAAAAAATCTAAAAGAGGAAATCATAGTATGGTTTAAAAAAGTTTAATAAGTTGCCATTCAGCTAACAGACCTGTCTTCATATGGAAAAAGTTTATTTAGTGAACCAGAAATAAGAGGAGAGCATATTAAAAATAATGTCATAACTATTAATGCCTATTAAGAGAAAAAAATTGAAGTATCATTTCTAAAATAAATCATCATCCATACTAAAAAAATAAATAAAACAACTCAAATATGAATATTAAGAAGAAAGTTATAAGATATAAATAATTAGAATAATATTATATTTCAATATAAAAATAAAAAAGGAAGTTAAGCAGATTTCTTTTCGGATAATGCAATTAATTGGAAGCTTTGAGGATCAAATAATTACAGAAATATCATTTTCAATAAATAAATTATATTATATTAATTTAATTTAAAAAAAATATTGATATTAATTTTTCAATTATAAAAAGTCATTTCTATGTGTTTAACTTGAACAAGATTAGTGTATATTTTTGATGGAATCCCATTGATATAATTAAAACAAGGGCTAGAATTTTTATGATTAGATATTTTAATTACTTAGAAGAGCATAGCGGATATTATATTGGAGAAGACTCAGGGGAAGGTTATAAAATTTAATGGGATGATACTTAGAATTATTTCAAATAAAGAAGATATCCATTTTAATTTCAAAAGTATGATGAATAAAAATAGTTTGATAAAGTTTTTGAATGAGGAATGAAAAAAATGAAACAGAATACAAAATTTACTGTATTGACGATTATTTAATAAATGTTAAAAATGAAATTAAGAATAAAAAAGTTGTTTTAGATTGATTAATTTTTTGTATTGTCTGACAAATTATTTTTAATTTTTCAATAATTAAACACAGAACTATTTTCCTAATAATCTATATCCTGCTATTTATCGGTACATATATGATTTTTAATTAATCCTTAAATTATTTAGTTAAATTCTAAAATTTAAATTAAATGC